TTTTTTATTTTTTTATTTTTTTATTTTTTTATTTTTTTATTTTTTTATTTTTTTTGGGTGAGGTGGGGGGATCACTGGACACAAAGTTGAGCAGAAAAATTCCAGAACAAAGAATCAAAAAAAGATCATCTAGTTACTCAAATACTCAATTCTGAACAGGGCCCATGATTTACCATCACGTGGAATCTAGTAACTCACAATAATGTCCGCCTTGTGACTTTGTTCACAAGCGGGTCATTATTATTGTTCGTCATAGAACCTGTCCCTTCTACCGAATGAATGACTTACATGACTAACAAAACATTCATCTAAATAATACAATATGGGATTGTTGACAAGGATCGTTTAGGATTAGTACGCAAAAAAATTTTTTTTTTTTTTTTTTACAATGGTCATTCCTTTTTATCCCTAATGCTTACTATGCATTGTTCCCTTTATTTACTTAACAATCCAAATATATAGTGGTTCCAGCTCTTAATAGTGGATACCATGGATATTATACTATTTTAATTGACTACTATCATTGATCCCTATTTTATCTCATTTCTTCTCCCTTTTTCCTTTTTTTTTTTTTTTTTTTTTTTTGGTTCTAACTTTAAATAGTGGATACCGTTTTCTTCTCCTTTCCCTTTCTCCCTCTTTTTTCTCCTTTTTTTTCTACATTTCGGTTCCAACTTTAAATAGTGGACACCGTTCTTTTCCTCTTTTTTCCTTTTTTTTTTTTTTTTTTTTTTTTTTTGACATTCCAACTAAATATAGTGGATACCATCCTAATTTCAAAACCCTTTTTTCCCCTCTTTTTTTTTTTTTTTTTTTTTTTCCTAAAACCCTATTTTTCTAGAAATCCCAGCCTTCGCAGTGAATACAGTCTTTAAATACAACATAACGGCCTTTGAGTCCCAACCTCCAATTGTTCAAATTTGGGTGAGGTTTATACCCGCCATCATCGCAGCTGTGGCTCCTCCAATTCGCAATGAATGCGCTGTAAACCTGCCACTCAAACCAGCATGTTCAGTGAATCTTTTCAATATTGAACCCACTGCCGAGACAGAAACCTTCTTTTCTTGCCTTGATGGTGCCTCTGTGTTTGTTCTTGGTCTTGTTTTCAGGTATTGCTTCAATAGCTTTACCGGATAATACTTCGATCCTGTATTTTCAACAGGAATAAACCCACAAAGTCTCATCATTATCCTATTTTATATCGTTCAAGGTTAGGTCTCCTAACTCCTCCAGTTTTTTTATCGTTTTTAATTCAAGAGCGACTAAGGCTATATCTCTCTTGTATATTAATACATCAGTCCTGTGGGGTGGCACATCCACATAGTATCTCTTGCTATTACCGGTAATGGGTCACGTGGCCAATCTGATGTTTTATTCTTAGAGGCTTTCTTCCTTATTACCCTTAGCACCTGTGTTATAGCCAATGATTTTCTAAAATCCTCTTTTCTCTCAAAACGCAGATTATTTACTACAACCTGTAGGACCCTGGAAATCTGCGACCCCAGGCCCATTACATCTAACCACATAATGAATGCCAAGATACCTTCTTCAAGTGGATTCTCCATATCCAATCTAAACCTTTTACAAAACGTTTTATATAGGCCCCAATATTTCTCTAATTTCACTTTGTAGAAGGGAGACACCATGTTTTTTGCTAATTTTTTTGCCCTTTCTGACAATTCTTTTATGGATGAATATAGATGGCCAAAAATTTCCACCGTGGGTTTCTCCAAGGTTCTACAAGACCAGACGACCCGGGTACAAAGTTGAATCTTGGATCTGGCAAGATCAATGCCTCCCAATTTAGTTCCAGGAGAAGTGGCCACCATTCGGCTAATAACCATTCTGGGATTACAATCGTAGTCCTTGCTCTGCAACTTTTTACATGGTGGAGGACTTTCTGTATCAAGTGTAGGGGGGCACATATAATTTATTTTGTTTTCCCACCTCTGAGTAAAACAATTTATTGCTTCCGAACCTGGGCAAAAATGATACCTGTTGAACCTCTGCACCTTTGTATTCAGATGCGACGCCATTTGATTTATTGAATGTGGCCCAAACATGGTCTCTATCTGTTAAAAAACCTAGCCAATCTGATGAGTCAAAGACCCAGGTTCAAAAATCTGCCGGGTTTAGTCCTGAAGGTACCCACCTCATCTCATAGATCCAAATGTTCTTTTCCAGACAAACTTGTTACAGGTTTCTGTAGGCTTTCTTTTGCTACCAACATTTTCCACCCATTCTCATTGTTGCTAGTGCCATACGACTGTCTATAAAAACTAAAACCTAGGAACCCTTCAACAAATTCGCGAAACTCCAAAGGCCAAACAAAAGAGCTTCTGCTTCCAGTTTTGCAATTTCCTGAAAACTTAAAATTTCTGGCCAATTTCTGAATGCCGTTTTTCAATCCAATTTTGTGCACCAACCAGTTGTTGAAGCATCTACGTACAGGCTCTTTATTAATGATGGCCTCCAGGCCGGCCAGCCATTGTATGTCTCCAGGTTGTTCAACAACCAACGTATATCCATTTTTGTCTGTTCTGTCAGACAAATTTTTTCGTCCCATTTCCAACTCTGACGGTTCGCCGTATCTATAAGGGAGTAGAACTTTAGGCACTTTACTTGCATTGGGGCAAAGGCCCTTGCTAAACTCTGTACTTTGTCCATAATCCTTGCCAACTGTCTGGCTGTTACCCAATTTATTCCCAACAGTGTCTTCAAACAAGCTTTTGTCTCCTCTAGTTTTTGTTGTGGTACGATCACTTGTGCCTTTACCATGTTAACAATCAATCCATAAAACTTTATTTCTCTTGATGGGATCAGACTGCTCTTGTCCCAAGCCAGGACGAACCTACAATTTCTCAAGTCTAGCAAAATGACTTCATCCCAGATTTTCTCCAATATTACTGCAGAAGAGTGGGCTACCCATATATCATCAATATGAGAGCCTGAAGCAATGCCTTTTGATCTCCAATGGGCGACCAATGCCCGAATTATCTTTGAAAAAATCTAAACTGCTTGGAAAAGGCCAAACGGCAACACATGGTACTGGTACCATAGATTTCCTACCCGAAATCCCAGAAAACGTCGAGCTTCCTCCTGCATTAGAACATGGTGATATCTGTCTCTTAGATCCAGTGTAATCATATACCAACCTTTTCTGATTGACTTCAATAGACCCCCCAGGCCTTCGAATCGAAATGATTTTACTGGGAGTCATTTGTTTAACCTCCTTAAGTCTATTATCAGGTGATAGCATTTTGGCCTGGCTTGGGCACCAGGAAAATCAAAAAAACCTCCAACAGGTAAGCTGGATGAAGCAACCCTGATCCTACCTTTCTTACAGCGCCCAGTTCTTCCAACCGATTTAACTTCTACTTCAACCACACCTCTTGATCTGCTAATAATTTGTATGGTTTTGGATCCGCTTTTTCAGCCAGGCTCCATATATTTTTTGGGAATAGGGGCACCAAATTCCTTAACCAGCAAGCTACTACTGGTGGTGGTCCTATCTTTTCCATCCAATACCTCATGGCTGCTGGCTCTTGTATCTTCCCAACAACTTTCCTGTTCTGATCTGTATCGTCCACTATCATCATTATTTTTTTCTTTGTCACCCAAGTGTAGTAACCTTCCACTGCTACTTTTATTCTGAAAAAGATCATTTCCAAGAGAGTTACTCTCTGCCAATTTTGATGGACATACTGCTGCTGTATGACAGGCACCACCACAAAAATAGCAGTTAAACTGCTTTGTTGCTGGCCTGTTATATGAATTTTGGTAAGCTGAACCCGGATTTAGGATCACATTTTGACTCTGGTACCCTTGAAAAATAGGCGACAGGTATTGTACATAAGGCTGTGGTTGTAGGTATGGTGACAGATAAGGTGTATAGTAATTACGTCTTGGCCCGGGGGCCCAGAAACTACCTCTACTTCTCCAGGTTCCTCTATCATAATATGTGGAAAAACCTTCAGAAGGTTTAGCCTATTTCCTTGCTTAGGTTAATAATTCCTTAAATTCGTCCTTTTCACTAATAGCTGGTTTCAGTATCTTTGCCGCTACTTTTCAACCTTCTTTCTCCGCAACTCTTAGAACAAATACTCTCAGTTTTAACAGCTCCTATACCTTCATCACCTTCTTTTTTGAATCTTCCTGAATAGCTTTTTGAAGCATAGTTCCAACTTCACAAACCGCATCATACTCATATTGGTTTTGCGGCCAGTGTTGGAAATCGTATGTTCACAGTGTTCACAAGAGCATAAATTTTTTAAAAAAATCGAAATTTTTTTATTTTATGTTCACATTTGTGAACATAAATAATTTTTATTTAATTAATAAAATTTTATTTATGAACATTATTTTTTTTTAATGTGAACATGATAAAAAACAAAGTATGTTCACAAAAATCATCATACTGTCTTATGAATTTCCAACACTGTTTGCGGCTTCTTAAATTCTTCTTCGGGAAGTTAGAATCCGCAGCACCGACCCAACTAGCTTTATTTAACTGTGCCGACTACTGTTGCAAGCTACTATCCAGGACCTTCGACAACGAATTTTCTAACTTTTTTTCGAGCTTCTGCTCCAATCTATTTTCCATATAAGACAAAAAAGCATAATTTTGTTCCATTACCTCATCTGATGGAAGAGGTCTTTCATCATCAAAATCTTCACTCGAATTCCATTCTCCTGCTCTACCCTTATCCAGTTTTTGTATATTAAAGTCCTTTTCTGGTACTGACCAAAGATCCTCCAAACAAGATATTAGTTCTGCTTTAGTACTATCCGTTGGGATGTTACACTTGCTACACATAACTCTCAAGTCCGTTACTCGTAATCGGTTCCATTCTATAGTCAGGTTTTCTTGCAACTGTAATGTTTTCTCATTACCTACTTGTAGGTTATGCGATTCTCTACTCAAACTCATCTTACTTTCTCTTCTTTAGCACAGAACAAAAACACTGATTTGCTTGCGACGAATGCTGGACACAAAGTCGAGCAGAAAAATTCCAGAACAAAAAATCAAAAAAGATTATCTAGTTACTCAAATACTCAATTCTAAACAGAGCCCGTGATTTACCATCACGTGGAATCCAGTGACTCACAATAATGTCCACCTTGTGACTTTGTTCACAAGCAGGTCAATTGACCAATTATTGCGATTTGAAAATTCTGGAACCCATTATTAGTTTGAGTGATGATCATTACTCCACGATTGTGATTGCAATTATGATGAAAATAAGCATTTCTACTGCAGCAAAAATACCTTTGAGATTGAGTTCTGATTAATTATTTTAAAGATTTGTCGGGGCTTAATTTCAAAAGATTGCTTGAAGCTCTTAAATATAATATAATTATTTTACTGCGCTACAGTCGATTGTGATTATGGCGCAGTAAATATTTATATTACAATTAAAAGCATCAGGCTATCTTTTGAAAATAAGCCCCAACTAATCTCTAAAATAATTAGTTAAAATTCAACCTCAAAGGTCGTTTGTTACAGTAGAAACGCTTATTTTTGTCAAAATCACAATCACAATCGTGGAGTGATGATCATCGCTCAAACTAACAATAAGTTCCAGAATTTTGCAAATCGCAATAAAACAATGATGATTTATAAGGGGAGGGCCAGAAAACACATGTTTTTTATTTTGACAAAATTACCCCTCCTCCTAGGTTTCTTATCTTCTAGATTTTCTATATATAGACATGTTTTTTTGAAAAGACTCCCTCTCCTCAAAAAAAAACACATGTTTTCTGGCCCTCCCTAATTATTATGTGGCTTTATAAATGGTTTCATAAGTGATTTACAAGTGGATTATACATAGTTAGGGTAAGCAATTAACTAATCAAGTGCAATAGTACAATTCAATTTTATCAGAAATCATACAATATTGCACAAATGATTGGTTTTATGAAATATTATCACTAATGTTTAATAATAACCAAATTAAAATTAAAAAAAATCTCTCAAATTATGAATATTCTTAGCTAATCTAAAAAATTTCATTAAAAAAGTTCTACTAATAGATTAGAGTTAGGTTTTGGTTTTGTTATAAAGTTGGTTAAAAAAGGCTTTTTTATACCAAAATTTCACAAGAAAAACTTTTTGTTAGTGTGTAGAAAGTAGTTTTATAGACAAAATATGGAGTTATAAATGATTTTTTGGTTTGTTTTGTTTTAGTGTTTCTTCTGCATTACACCTGATGTTGAAATCTGCTTGGCCAGTAAAATTTTTTAGGTGATAACACTAGAATATTTGCGGTTCCTCGATTGCGTAATTTGGAGAATTGCTATTAGACCACCATTGATCCCTATTTTATATGTTTTATATTATTGTCAAATTTACCTGATAAATTTAGTTGGCTCTACCACAAAATTCTAACATCCAAAATCTCGAAACAATAATTCCAGTATAATAATTAATATTAATTTTAATTGTGATGTCAGTATTATGGCCAACTCCTGTCTACAAATAATTCTCCAGAATGTTATTTTTAGTCAAATAGATTGAAGGATCAGGTGTAATGAAATTGTCTTCTGCATTTTAATAAAAAAAATGACTTCAAAATTTTGATATAAATTATGCTCTTCCCATGGCCTTAATTAGTAAAAACTTACTTATGTGCCCAATTCAGAATTAAAAATTAAAAGTTTATTATTTATTTCAATTATCTAGTAGTTAAAGATACCTTTGTCAAAACTTTTTATTATGCCAGAAAGTATTGTTTGCATTGCCACAAACAAAAGTTCTTATGCCATTTAAACAATTATTATTTAATTCAAAATTCTCTAATTGCAAATTAATAGATTCGCTGATTGTACTGATTTCATTGTCAGATGAGACAATGGTGAAATACCACATATTACCAGTGGTAACAATGCTATAAGTATATTCCAATTGAACATTCTTCCTCTTCTTGTTCATCTATATAAGATATAGAGAATATTAGTTTAGAAAAATTTTAAAAGCATTCCAGTAGAATTTTTTAATAGTATTATTAATTTTGATTTCTAATGGCTTCTATTAGTCTTTTATAGCCTTGGATCCACCTTATTTCACTGGCAATCATTTCATAAACATAGCATTTCACTGATACTCAATTCACAAACACTCAATTCACTGACACTCAATTCAACAATAGATAATTTACTAACACTCAATTTGCTGATAATCAATTCACTAACAATCAACTTACCACTACACTCAAATGGTAAATACTTACCTCATATGCTCACTGAACTTGGATAAAATTTTAAACAAAGTCATACTCAATATCTAATAACTTTGCTTCAATGACACAGAGAATATTTTTACCTTGCATAATGGTAAAGTAACATCAACCTTTACTATTAGTGGCAGATAGAGAATATTCTGTTTAATGTTGTTTTTTATAGCTTGAGATAATATCATAAAGAATAGCAGACACATAGTTTGTTTATTCAGCTTCATTAGCATTATTGATATTCATCAAAGTTTTCACAAGATTATTTAAAATAATATATATATAATTAGTATTCATTCACTTTGTACATATAATCCAAAACAAAACTTAAAATTAAACTATACAAACCTTAATAATTTGTGCAGTTAAATTATTTGCCTTCATATGGAGTTATATCCATTGAGGTTGCTATAAAAAATATTAAAAACTTAAAAACAAAATAAAATTAATTACATTAATATAAATTAGTTTATATTACTTATAAAGGTTTAGTTTTGGCAAATTACCAATCCTTTCAACCTTAACTTCAAAGAGCTTATTAGGCTGCATCAGCTTATTATATGATAAAAATGGTTATTAAAAAAAATAAAAACTAATTAAAATTTAATTTTGATTTATCTTTGATCAAATTTTGTATATATATTACAAATTTGACTAGATTTGTTCAACAAATCCTATATTATCTGGTAGTGGCTTAATAGAGCCTTTTTTCTGCTTAATTAAAAATTTTTAATTGGCCGATCCTGATTTGAAGTTCAACTTGATGAAGCTTTACTAGATAAGAATTGGTTCAAGGTAATATCAGACTTGTAAAAATTTAAATATTATGAATGTATGATTTTATAAAAAAATAAAATACTTATTAACTTTAAAATTATATTAAAATATTAATTTAATTACTTTTGCCAAAACTTCTTGACTTTATTTCTCTTCTAATGTTTGAATATATAAATATAAAATAAAAGTATATAAATATTACATTTAAAAATTTAGTTACAATTATATTGATTATGATAAACAACTTCTTCTTTTCATCTTTTGTAAAAATTTTAGCACTTTCAACTTTCAATAGATTAGATTTCAGCTTTTGTTTTTTTAAAAATAATTTCATCTAAAAATACTAAATAGAACTATCAATAAATTATATACTTCTTCTTACCAAATTTTTAGCATATCTATGATACATACTGTTTTTGCCAGATTGAGATTTCAACTTTCATCAAAGGTTTTGTTTTCTGTCAGAAGTTCATATTTCACAAAAATTTTATTACTTTCATCTGATAAAGAATTTGATTTCATCTTTTGTCATTTTTTAAAAAAGATATCATCTAACAACACCAGATATAACATAATATAATTAATTCCCATGAAGATAATGAAAGTATATCAGCACCTCATATGTGGTATATCTTTACTAACTACATACTTCAAATATAGCATTGGTAACTTGCATTTAGGAAATCTATTATCTTTAAGGATTTATCTTTTAACACCTTAAGTGTTCCTTTTATTTTTGGTTTAGGTTTATAAGTTTATAAGTTGGTTATAAAAAAAAGTAAACTTAAAAAAATTAGATGTGAAAACTTTTTAGAAAAAGAAAGGAATGCTTTAAAAAAAATATTTTGAAAAAAACTAATGATAAATCATTGGGAAAAGCACAAATTAGTAATTAATTTATACTTTGTACATATGTACGTATGTATTTTACTAATGCTAAGAAATGTTTGATATTTAAGTATAAATTTGGTAAGCTCGCGAGTTCATATACCCTTATATAGAAATGAATCACTCCTTTTACAAGTCATGTGATGATCGACAAAGTGACAACTCCAGTTTACTTATTTGCGTAAGTAACACAAACCAAAAAAAGAAATCGAATTTTGTAAATAAACTAAGTGCGTGTCAACTACTCCTGTGTATCAGCCAATCAGATTCGGAAACCACGTGCAATGTGAAAATTAAAACTAGAACAAACATACATTAGAGCCAAATTTAGAGTTAGATTGGGGAAGCAAAACAAGGCAGTGGGCGGTTTTAAAATTTGATCTTCAAATAAGTATATCTTATGATTTTTATTTCATTAAACTCATTTCACTAAGATGAATCTAATAATATATTAGATCATGAGATATACTTATTTAAATATCAAGTTTTAAAACTGCCCACTACTTGTTTTGCTGTGGGGTTCCCATATAATGAAATTAGGTGATTCCATAAGCAAGATTTTGAACTACATACGATTTTTCACAAAATCGCATTGCGCTTAATTTGGTTTTATTAGGGTTAGTTTGGGGTTGATATAAGAAGAGAGGTATAGGTAAAACTTACCCCCAAGACAGGTTTAGACTGCTGTTTTTCGTCTTTTTGCATTTCTCTATTTTTGACTTCGGGGCCCCTTAATTTGGTAATTTAATTGGCTGCGCAGAATTTTCGCCAATAGGGAGTTTTGTTTTGATGTAACGTATTCAGGTAATTATACAAATCTGCTTGAAAAAACATTTTTTAAATAAATTTAGTGCTCTCTGCTGTTTATTGTATTTCGTGATTCAAATAGAACTTGGCCGAATAAAAGGTCAGACGAAATATATAAAAAATAGATTGATAAAAGTTAAAGAAATGTAGAAGCGTTATAAAATATTCTGTTTTGTTAATATTTAGGAAAAAAGGTAGTATTACGAGGTTTGAATGATAGTGAATAGCA